TTCAGTTATTAAAAATCATTTAGGACTAATGAAAAAATAATTTTTGAAGTATTGAAAGTTTGTCGTAACTAAGAAAATATTCAGTCAATATATTTACATTGTGCAATATCGTACATAATTATTACAGCCTGGTGCTTGTGGTAAATAATAAACATAATAAGTACCGCAATTAGTCACACTTATTGTCGTTGACCAGTAACAAACATTCGTACTATAAAATGTACAAACGGTACCCGTAACTGTTTGACCATAATATGTGGGCGATGTTCCCATATAATACGCTGCGTAATTTGTTCCGCAATAACCTTGATTTGGTGCTCGATCATACAACTGGGTGCCCGATGATCCAACAACTCGATACCAAGCAACAGACTTAGCGCAATCTGTATAACACCCACTACAATAATAACTGTATACAGTCGTCGCATCGTTTATTGCTAAGTAACTCGAACATTGCGACGGTAACGCTGTGGTTGTTGTTGCTGAAATATCAAGAAATCGTTTCAAACATTTGAGAAAAGACAGTTGTCAATGTTGTCTCACATGTTGTTGCTGTTGTTGATGTTGTACTCGTTATGGTCGTATTTGTAAACGTAGTGTTGTTTACTTATGAAAAAATATAATTCGTTTTTACAAGTTAAAAAGTTATCTTGGAATACTTACCAGTTTTATTCCACAATACAACAAAAACAGCCATTGCTGCCGTGGTACAAACAAGCGCAACGGTTAATATAGCAATTAAAACGTTTTTTGAAAATGGCGATTTGTAACAGCGTTTATTACTAAATACCGAGCAGAAATGTGAAAGGCGTATAAAACGATAGCACAAATCGTTATCATTCACATACGCCTAGAAATCAATAGTTTATGCAGAATTAATTTTTGATTAATTTTATTTTGACGTCGATGTTTGCTTTCTATTCTATCACAGAATATAAATTCTAACATAGAATTCTATGTGTGACTTAGAAATGAAACCGGCTGGGAGCATCTTAGTCAAACCAGTAGTTAGCCAAGACGTTTTTTGGCCGAACTAATCGCAATGGACAA